GGGTGTTGAAACATTTTATTTTCTACAAATTTTGATGTTGCAAAGCTTAGTAAATAAACAAGGTGAGGCGATCGAATGTTGCACCACATATCGAATAGAAGTCTAAACGATGTGCACTGGCACATCGAATATGGGTTAGTGGTTTAATCTAGAATACGCTACTCCTGTAAGTAAATAAACCAAAGTAGCACCAACGGCATATTGTTTTGTATTTACAGACCCTGACATGATTCTAAAAATGATACAATAAAAAGCAGATGCTTAGGTGCCGTATTTCCACTAAAAATGAACTCCGTTTTTGAGAGGTGGATCCATTAACAGTCTGAGGATAATAAACACCGTTCACAAAACGCCCCAGTTAGTACACCTTTTCCTATCAAGCTTTAGCCATAACCCACAATTCTTGAGCCTCCATCGACGTAATTGTGTTGAATATTGCAGCGTGAATAAACTGCTGTTAGTAACGGGGTGTCTTTCTGCGAATGGTGTTTATTATCGTTGGACTATTAATATATCCAACTCTCAAAATTGGAGTCCATTTAGGGTGGAAATATGGCACCAAAGCATTCCTTTTTTTAAAGTATCACTTTTAGGATCATGTCAGGGCCTGTAAGTATAAAAATAACATACCGTTTGTGTTCCATTTGGGATTTTCATTTAAACGAGTAACGCATTATAGGTTTCCCTTGTAGTACCGTCATGCGGCATTCTATTCGTCAGTAATGGGGATATAAAAGCACACTACGATTAGTAGTAGCAGTAGTATTTGTTGTACCGTATCTGCTGTTGTACGGGTGTAGAATAAGGAGAATATTCAACTGGATGGACGGAAAAGGCTCTATCCCTTCCCCTGGGCAGAACACTAACGGGAAGTAATTGAATATTCAAGCAGAGGTGATAATTTGAAAGAAGTGATCGAACACCTCGACCCCAGTAGTTTTTATTTTTGGAAATGCAACCGTTCATCGGAGGAATTTGGATGTTGTGACAGCTTCTAATTGAGTCATAACCCCAGAGGCTAGTGATGGGATGAGCGATGCACGATGCCTCCATTGAGCTGACAAAGATGGGTTGTGCTATATGGTGCATATTCCAAATAAAAAGTCTGGTTAGCTGTCCGGTGGCCGAGTGACCAGGATGATTCTGTTCTGCTTGTGAAGTCCCGTGTTCGATCCCAGCTGGGCCGATAGATTCGCACTGCTGATGGAACTCAACGAGGTCGAAACAGCGTTCCGGTGCTTCCTGGGCTTTCAGTTAAGGTTTTATTTGCTGTATACACGACGAATTTTCCCTGACTTTCCGATATGACTGGTCTACAGCAGCATGATTTAGGTTTGTGTGTCGAGACTAAAGGGTTACGGATCGAGGGCTAAAGAACTGAGGGTGTTCGATAAAGGATTACGGGTGGAGGCTAAGAGACTGCGAGTTTTGGTTAAAGCTCCATGAGAAAAGGTGTAGATATCAGCCCACAATGGATTGCGATTTTCACACACCGTTTTACCGTCTTGCGGGTCAGGTTTTGGCTTCCAGAAGGCTCCGGTTGTGAACCCCCGAAGCAAATTCAACTGCTTAGGCCTAGGAAATCTAGAAATATTGTGCGGTTAATTAAATCAAGGATCGATCTTTTGTCATAAAGGTAACTGTAGTGTGAATTCCTTGATACAGTCTGAATTCAGACAAGCGTGGATACTAATAATAATTAATAATAATAATATCAACCTAAACTAATAACCCGATTTGGAACACAATCAAAAGTAAAATTTTACTAATATGACAATAACTAACTTTCATATTGTAAAATTTGAGAAGAATGTGCCAAGCATGGGTTCCAGTTCGGCGCGAACGAGGTTTACTGGGAGTCGGTGGATCCTCGCAATCTCCGGGATGTGGGATTGGATCCAGTCCATCTTCCAGCGCATCACCGAGACGACGACGTCGGGAATTGAAACAGCCTAAAATTGGTTTCAGCAGAAAGTTTCCGGGTCGTATAACACTGCCGTTTTCTTCATGAATGGTGATCAGTGCGTTCCGCATCAACCCGTGTTCAATCAAATCTCGTAAGGCAGGACAGAGTTGACGTCGCACAACGCGGATAATCATGCGTTGAGCCTCTGACTTCAAAAACTGATAAGGAAAATGAAGTATTCATGGTTTGTCCAAAGAATATCTGACGATTAGAGGGCTCTGATTTGTTTGTAAACAGGAGTGCTACAGATAAAACTATTTGAAGTTACGATAATCAGGCTACTGACAACATTATTTCAGTAGCAAGAAAATTAAGCGACAAAAATAGCAAAAAGTTCGAGTAGTGGGAGAAGAAACGAAGCACCTGGGATCTTCTTCTGCCTATTCTTTTTTAAACCGAAAGCCACCAGATCACAAAACGTAGAAATCCGTGAATACGATTCTGTTAATCACGGCAAACGAGCTTGTTCGCTACTTTGTGTTTTCTCTCAACGGGTATATTCGGACAATTAACTGTATTTCACATGAGTCTGAATTCAGACTGTGAAAAAACAAATAAATGTGCAATAATCTCTGTAAAAAGGGAAACTTTTATGATTTTATTAAGGAATAAATTTCGATCTGAGGTGTTGACATTAAAGAACTAAATAAAGCCATCAAGAGTGTAAGACTTCGCATCTGGAGAGACGCAATCACGATCAGCTCTTCTCGCTCAAATATTATGGGAATGAACTAATTCCTTCAAAAAAGAGTTTCGATTGGTAGTTTCTTATGAGGACTACAGTCTGCAAAACTTTATCCCTCGGAGGGTCATGAACTCCGGAGAATTCGATCGAAAAATCATGCTGTTTGCTGGTTGGGACACAAACTTCTCAGAAATATATCCACTGGAACGTACTTCCTCAGTATCTGCAATCGAATCTTTCCAGTTGGTTGGGATTTTACACACTGCGCCCGAGCTGGTCCGTGATTCGCTGACTGAGTAGGCGGACGGAGGAAGATCTGCTTGCGCACCATTTAGCATTGCACGCAAGCTAGCATCGTGCAGATTTTGCACTGGCAAGGCTATTTTCGTTCCGGGCAGATCCTGATCAGTGCCCACTTTCATACTCGAACAGGAAGAACGAACCGAATAGGTTTGAAAGCGTCGTAACTGACGTGCCAGCCGATTGGCCTCAACACTCACCGTGGTCTCATTCGTTTCAGATTGCAGCTGCGTGCAAGCCGAACTAACACTGGTTCGGACTGGTCGCCTAATACAACTGGTCTGTTTGTGCGTTTCCAACTGTCTTTGCTTCAACTGATAGGACTGATAAAGCTCGACTTTCTCCAGTACCGCATTCACGGCCAATTCCAGCCGGGCTCGTACAGTACCCCAATGTTGAAGTTTGGCCCGTTCAACGGTGGCCGAATTGCGAACGGATTCTGGAAAGTAATGGAAGAGAATTGTATGATCATCAGAGGGAAGGAAACTCGGTGATTCTCGGAAAGATCGGTACTAACTTTAATGGATAAAAACATGGACAGTAGTAAATTACCAAAATCTTGAAAGAGAAAGATGGTGGTGCACTGTAGTCAAGCATTCAATAGCAAGTGGGAGTGACAAAGAACACGATGAATTTTTCGAACCCCCTAAATATGACGTTTTGCATGGGTAGAAGAGATTATCTTAGAAATAAGTCAGATAGAACTTCATTATTATTATTATTGGTAGCATTTTTATCAAGTAAATTTCAGAGAGGAGGAGACGAAAGCTAGAAATCTGGAAAACCATGTCAACCTTATTGGACCGTAGCAGCAACAGCTAACATCGATCCACCGACCAAGTCGATCGGACAGGATGGCGCAGTTCAAGTCAAATCAAAGTAAGCTTTGTGCACCCGAAGGGTGAATTTTCAGCGATTTTTCACGAGGGGGGGGGTTGATCTTTAGTTGGGTCGATAAGTTCGTACCTCCGACGGTAGCAAACAACACTGAAACAGATGTACAGGTCATTATCACCGTACCGCGGAATACAGTGCAGTGAGCTTCGCTAGTCACTATCCTACCCACAACGCGAGGTGAATAGGGACTGGATTTGTCATAACGGAGGGAGAAGTAAACCCCTGGAACTATTTAACACAGGCTACAGAATCGAACTGCTATCATGTCGTACGCCGTCGCCAAACACAACCGGTTACGGGTTCTCGTGGGACCTCGGCCGAGAAGACAAAAGACACCTTCACTATCGTGTTACTCTGTAAACTTGGGCTTGTCTCGTTTCTACGTCATCCATAGACATCCACGCGACCCTTTCCAGCCCGGAGATGTTTAGTTTTCAGTTTGATAAAGAAATGTGCATTCATTTGGAGTCGATGGGTCGCTCAACATTGGCACGCGGTGTTGACGTCGAACATACTGGTTAGTCAGTTTAAGTGGCTCGGAAGAAACACACGTTTTGATCGAGATGGTGAGCCAAACAAAGCATGGTCAAATAATCTTTACACAAGGAAGATTTCTATGAGGGGACGATTCGGAACGGCTGCACGCGTTTCAGTGACGAATACGGAGCTGACTGTGCGATAAAACAAGTATGTTCAACACTTGGATAGACAATGCAAAACAACAAATGAACACAATTTCAGGGCTAAATCATTATACAACCAAGAGCATGGGACTGAACTGCTCATTCGCCAAAGGAGCTAATGTACAATACTACTTCAATCGTCAGTAGTCATGCTTGCTCCGTGTGGTCGTATTTTTTTTAAAGAGAGGATCTAATTCTTCTAAATCCCATTTGGGTCTTTCTGTAAAATTTCAATACTCACATAGGTCCGACGAGGTCTCACCCAGTACAAACAACAAGTTATTAAACCGGAGGTGAATGTTGTGTGTTCTAACTTCGCTATTCACAAGTTGGGAAGAGTACTTGACAACGGATTTCACGTCCAAATCTTTTGTGACATGCAAGCCTCTCGAACACAAACACAACAGTAAAATTGATCATCCTTGGAAAAGAATTCGATAGCTGATACGCACACGACCCCAAGTATAACACGTGAACCATTGTCTGCTATGCCCATTGGACATCGTGCTATTATCCATGTTGG